GGAGCTGATGGTCAAGAGAGATAGAAGAATGAGAGAGCGGAGGTCAGGGTTTCGCACCCTAAACGCCATCGCCATCGACGGAACAGAGCTAGGGATGTAGAAAGAAAGTGAAAGCTTCTTAGAATAGTGTGGGAGTGAGCTACCTGTTCTATATAGCCGCTACTATGCTTCGGGTTTTCAGTGCAGTGGGCAAATTTGGAAATTGACGTGGCTAAGTCCTACGTGGATGACAGTTGGCAGACTACAGCAAATTGAATCATGACACGTCAGATATTATTGTCATAGATGTAGTGTGGCACGATACCATTGGTAAATACAGACTCTACCGAGTCGTTAAGTGGATCCGTGTATGCATTTTACGTTACTACCATCAGGTTTTGTCTTAATGTGGATCTGGCACCTGAAGCCAAACAATCAACCACACGTGTGATACCATTTTATTTCTTTTTATATTTTTGAATTTTTCAGCACAACTAATTATTATTGATATAAAAATGTTAGAAATATTCTCTTTGACCTATTTTACATATATTGTTTATATGTTAAGAGTGGTGTTTTCATTTCATTTGGTTTTTTATTAAATACTTGTCTCAATAACATAAAAGTTAAATATAGTTTGATTTTAATTTTAATATAAAATTTTGAACAAATCAAAACCATGTTAATTTTATGTGATTTGGTTTTGATTTACTTTTACATTTGTGAATCACTTTATTATATGTATGAATTAACAAATTTTTAAATAAATTATCAAATTCTAAAAGTAAATAAGTTTTAATTTCAAATTTTATTTTTAAATCAATTAAAGTTAAATTTTAACATATATTTGTACGTATTTGAACTTTTGCCATATTCTTATTGTCACCAAAATTTGGTTGTTGAATACTCAAATTTACAGTCAACATAAAAAGTTTCTGAATGTTAAGATTAAGGTTTATAGCTTAAGATTTAGTGAGTTGTCTAAACTTTGAAAACTATACTAAAATTATGTTCTCAGTTTAATTGTTTGTCCAAATTATTCATAGTTCCATTGCAAAAAAACATTAATAATTTAATAAATGCATTTCATCTACCTCTTATATCAAAATAACTATGTCAAACTAATAACACAATTAAAAATATTCAACAAATTTTTGATTAACCAACGGTCCAATAATAAGTATACCTCTAATTTTATCAAGTTTATTCATAACAAACTAATTTACTTCTCACTTCTCGTTGAATCAGTCTCTCTCATAACTCATTAAACAATTTCAATAAGAATTAACCCGAAAATCATATAATATATCAATATATTACATATTTAACTATTACATACTTATTGTCAATCAAACTAATTCACTTATTTTTAGATTTTGCCATTATTTAATTGATACATGTCAATTATATTACATGAAATTTAATATTTTTTAAAATTTCATTCATATATTATTTTTCGTTACCAGATATATCCATTATTATTTTTTTTTGCCTTTTTTTAATACATGCTCTTAAATTTAATTTGAAGTTTAACTACCGTTTATACGTATTGAGAAGCCGCGAAAGGATAAAAAGAAATTATTTTCGAACAGAGTAAAACAAAATTGTATATAAATAAAATATTTATTATTTTCAATCAAATTAAAACTCGTTTCACTTAATATATTTTTATTAATTGAGATTTCGACATTTCATAATTTATATCATACATCTGACATGTTTCCCATTTCTCTGGGCAAAAGTTATCTTTCAAAAACAACACTGACCCATTTTTATTGGACCTTTCGTGTTTTGACAGTGTGCGTAGTTTTGAAGAGTTAAAAGGAGCCAAGAAGAAACTATGAAAAGATAACATGGCTGAACCTTACACCCATGAGAAAAGTTTGGCATTGGAGAGAAAGTTTTTTTTTATAGACGAGAAAGGTTAACAATATATTCTATATCTTGTATTTAAAATTTATGAAAAACATGAAATTTTAAGGGATCACGTGTTTTCTTTAATGAATTAAACTCATAATATTTCATAAATAATAAATAATGCGTTGACACTCTTTTCTTTCTGACTTTTTTTGGGTGGAAGAAGTAGAATGGGAAAGAGCATGCGTGTACTTCACCTATTCAAGGCTGGATTTTAGTGACGCCGGCATTCATTTTATTATTGTGGTTGGCAAATCATGATGCTTAGATTTGCAGCTAATCTAGACCTAAAAAACTATTGCAAATAATAGTTTCTGCTATCTTGTTCGTTGGCCACAATTATTTGTAACATTCTAGAGAATTCCATTGTGGAGTGCACAAGGGAATTAATTAGGTTAATCTTGGCTTGGTTTTATTATACTCCTACTCATGGACCAAGTGATACAGCACGTGAGGTAGTACCATCATATATAAGCTCCAAAAAGACAAAGTGCAATCAGTTTCTTATAGTTGACAAAGCCCTGTATCACAGGTAACACATTAACAAAACCAAAGTTGATGAATCACATTCACAGTTTTAATCCCTGTTCTGCTTACATAAAAGCCCCAAAAGTGACACAAGTGCAGCTGATCCAATAGCAAAACTCTGTTAGAAAGGAACAAGAACAGCATATTCAGATTTCCATACAAGATATAAAACCCTTAACTCATTGCAAAATATTTGTTATACAGGTTGTTTGATGCTTAAAAAGTTATATACAAGCTGCAATAAAAGTATTAACACTTCATTAATTCATAATTGTTCGCACTGTTGCTGGAATCTAATACAGGCATCGCCTTTACTTTACATTGCTGTTAATCCATAGTAAACATTTTATAAGTTTAAACAAGAAGCCTCATCTGTTCAATAATTAAAGATTTCAAGCAAAGTTGCTTGAATAAAACCAGTATAAATCTAATGTTTTTATAGGAAAGATGAAATCATCAAAGTCAAAAGCACCCAATCCCAAACATGCTTGAACCTTATGTTCTAAGAAACAGTGTGGCCCAATTTCCAGATACAAATCAAAATTGAATTATCTTTGCATTTTCTTAATTCTAGAAGCTAGTCAGGAAGTAAAAACAGTGAGCCATGTCAACAGACAATAAAATGATATCATTCCATTCATTAACTCGGTTCCACCATGAAAACATAGCCTTCTGAAAAACCTAGAAATCCCCATTAGCAAACTTCCTCATCTCAAATGATTTCATATGAATATTACAAAAGTAATGGCCAATAAACACGGTACTTTGCAGAATACCATCAAACATAAATGTCATTCCTTGGAGAAACAGAGGCAGGGCTGTTAATATACAGTCAAAACCAAAACAAAATACAACAATTGTTAACATGAAATCACAAGGCAAGAAGCTCAAAATTTCTCAGCTGCAAGCTGCAACAGAATTGTAAATGTAATTGGTTACATTAGTATTTGACATGAAAGATTGAATTGGGTTCCGACAACCCTGATCTTCCTCAAACAATTAGAAGATATGATGGAAAAATAGAAACACCAGGTATTAATGCTGAAACGCCTGAGTAGCCCACAGAGGGAGAGGTGCACGTAGCATAACGTCAAGACCAGTAACAGGATGTTCAAAGGACAAGGTTTCTGCATGAAGGTGATGTGCATGATGAGTTATACCTTTCCACCCGTAAACACCTTCATATTTCACATCACCTACGATAGAAATCCCTAGGTACTGACAGTGCAAGCGAATCTGATGCGTTCTTCCACTCCGAGGATACGCTCTCACTACAATCTCACTCGCATTGTCATCCTCTTTCACCGCTTTTTCTTCAACCACCAAAACATTTCCCTCCTCGCCCGAATCAGAGACCTCCCTAAAGCTGCCATTTCCGTTTACCGACAACACCTCAAAGGAAGTTTCCATGGACCGGACGGCCGAGCCACCCGGTAGTGTGCGTCCCACATCGGAAGCAGCGTAGACTCGCCAGGCGCCGAACTTGGACCTCCCGTGACCGGATCTGACGGTGACCTGTTCCCAATTGGGAGGAGGACCGGTGCACAGGGCAATGTATGTTTTCTTCACTTTGTGTGCGGTGAAGGCCTTGACGAGTTTCGCGGCCACCTTGTGCGACTTGGTTAAGAGCAATATGCCACTGGTGTCACGGTCGAGTCGATTAGCCAGGTGAAGCTCGTGCGATTGGGAAGCGAGGGAGGAGAGGAGGGTCTCGCAGTAAATTCCTTGGTGCTTGTTGACTGCGATGAGGTGGTCGTCGTGGTAGAGAATGTCGGAGGGTGAGAGAGAAAATATGCTTGAGCTTGAAGAAGCAGTCATAGCTCTGCTGAGCTCGATTTGCTTTGAGATCGGGGGAAGCGGAGGGGACAGTGGCACTGGGTAATTCTCTGCGGCTGTGGGGATTTTCCGTTCCGGGGGGCCTGACATGGCTACGGCGGAGAAGACGAAAGGTTTGGGGTTGAAGGAGAGCATGCGCACGAGGGAAGGGTAGGGACTCGCACGCTTTTTTTTTTCTCATGAAATTGGACTAGTTACTTATACGGGCCCAGTTACTCGGCTCACTCCAATATGGTTTGCAACTTCTTTTTATCATGGTTTAATGTCTTTACTATTTTCGTCCAGAATTTTAAATAAGATTTTTTTTTTCGGCGTTTCAATTGGATCCTTAATTTTATAAAATTGAATTAAATAAGACCTTTTCGTTAAATTGATGAAACGGTATATGCTGACAGTATGTGATACAACACTTAACGTCGTTTCATCAATTTAACGGAAAGGTCCTATTTGATTCAATTTTACAAAAATAAGGACCCAATTGAAACGCAAAAAAAAAAAAGAGTCCTATTTAAGATTCAGGACCTATTGAAACATTAAACCTTTTATCATTTAAATCTTATAACCTCCTACAAAATATTATTTATTAAATTAATAAATAAATTATTTTAAAGAAATAATGTAATCAGTTTCATTTCCCATTTAATAATTTTATTTAATGTCATATATATATATATATATATATATATATATATATATATATATATATATATATATATATATATATATATATATCAGGAGGTGCGTACTGCGTGACTGGTCTCCGCTACCGTCTTCCTCTTTCATTTATCGTGTTAGGGTTTTCAGATATCAGGATTGTTCTCCTTCCCTCAAATTCAGCGAATTAGCTTTTTCAGAGTTCAGAATTGTTATCGTCCTTCATATAACTGCGTTTTCAAACCGACATTTGTCCGTACCCAAGATTCTTACGAAGATCGAAATTCTTCCGCGTTTTCGCTTTGGCTAAGGTTCAACGCGGACAACTACGTATGGCTTCTTCCTCAATAATCACTCCTGAAGATGTGTTGGAGTCGCTGATGAACGACGGCTCAATTGATGCCCTCAGATTGAAGATCATCAACCAGCTCAAAGCCAATGTAATTTCTACACTCCTTTCCTTTTCGATTTCGAATCCTCGTATAAATATTTTGGATGTTCTAATAGCGTCGTTACCTGTCTATTTCTCTTCAATTTCCTCTGATCTTTAGTCTGATCGTTTTTGTGTTGTTACATACAGGAGGAATTGAAGAGTACCACTATAAAGATGGCTGAGCAGAGTAAGGTTCTTAACACCCCCGGTGCTGAAAAACAGACTAAAAGAGAGCTCTTTGATGCTCTTCGGCAAGAACTTGAGTAAGTGATACATGAACCTAAATGTTCTATATTCTGAACTCTGAATTTTGTTAGAGGGCTATGGTCATTGAACTATTCTTATATAGAACATAAATCAAATCTGTGAACTTCAGACAAGTCCTGTCATGTTCCAAATTAGCTAAAAGACATGTATATTGATATAAAGTGCAGCTGCCTCCGTAGCATTGCTGCATTGGCCAGTGTGAACAATACTCTCGCTACACAAGAAAATAGCAAATATGCTAGGGTCTGCACTACATTTCAATGTTAGTCGGGAAATTAAAAATTAAAAATCGCTTATCATGAATAAAAACTAACGCAAGATACTATATATCACATAGACTTATATTAAGTCTGTATTATATTATATCTACTTTTTGTTATATGCATTTTAAGGTACATTTCAAAACATTATTTTCATATAATTATATAATGGAATATTATTAATTTTCCTAACCTATATCTACCGGTGGCCAACTCGTTACTTATTTAGCTATCAATTTTTAATTTTATTCCTTGCAAGGAATGATTGTCAAAACCTGAAAAGGCGACCCTTAATTAGTACTCGATGTTATGTCAATTTAAACTCTTAAATTTGATTCAGATCAATTTAAATTTCAATGTCTGTGGGTGCATAAAGCCACAACTAGCTTTGCCTTTTCTTCCATCTCTGGTCGGTTTCCTTCTTCTGTTTAGTATTTTTTTTCTTCATTCTCTCTATTCCTATTGATTCTTCACACTATTTTCTAGCATGTACCACTTTGCTGTATTCTATGTTCATTGTTGAACGTTCTAATACTCTTTAGCAGCCATAACCTAACCAATCTGCAAATAAGTTACAACCAGTATGCAGAAGGGATGAATAAATTATGTTTGGTTGTAATAGAATGGTACAAATATTTGAAGAGATTCAAATTCTGTCCCAACTACGGACTTGGTTTCAAAGTTTTGAACACACGGGTATCTATTCTGCTTGCATGATGTTATTTTACTCAACAATTAAATAGTGGAATAATTTTGAACGCAAGTGAGCACATCCTACAATTAAGGTGTGATCATTCTGGAATATTTTTTAGTTTTCAAATTTATTACTTTACTATGAAATTATCCATAGCATTGGAATAAATCTTCTCAAAGATCAGTAATTTTCCACACACGCATTCTACTGGTCGGGTAACTTATTGACTGGACCATATTTTTGTGTTTTGAGTATGCTGGATCAACTTGAAAATTTAAGTTTCTCCTACCTCAGTGGTTTTTTGTTGTCTATCCAGCTTTGAAGTCACAGATTATGCTAGATTACCATACTTCGAAATTCAAATCTATAGTCTTTTTTTTCATCCTCCGGCCACCATCCAGAAAATCCAAAGGTGTGTGCAGATTTGTGGTCACCTTTTGGAATCTCTGCATAAGATCCAACCTTATCTCTTTGCGGGCTTTTTACCTCTTGCATAAGTTGCACCAGTGTTGCTGCCAGTGCCTAGATTTGCATGCTCAAATTTGGTTCTTCGTGGTCATCTCCAAATCGATGTAGGAGAACAATGCTTAGGTGCCTGTTATTAAGGAACCATGTATCTGCATCAAAATCACCGTTCTGTCATCTGTGTATAGACTGAGCTTGAATAACTAAATTAATGTCAATTTTCTTATAATTGATATTGCTTTATATTGTTGCGAGGTCCACACTAATGTCAAAATTCTGAAGAGGCCGAAACCAAAGTGATAGTTTTTAATTTTCAGAGGATTGCCGCAGGGATTTTACTCATTTCTGCTATTAACCTTTTATACCCTGCCCCACAACGATTTTGCATGTTGGGAAAGTAGAAGCTGTGTGTTTGGAGTTGGATGGGTGAAAACAATATATAAGCAGGGTTCCTGAATGTACAGCTACTTGCTAGTACAAACTTCAAGATAATTCTTAGTCGCTCTTTCTGGCACACTTCATTAAGCGCTTCTATTTACCCTCTTATTCCTGAATAACTATTCTGTTTTGTTGTAGATGTTCATGTAGGCCTTGGAAGAATTCTTACATTGTTAGAAGTCATTATTCCCATTAGGATTGTATCTTAATGATTATCATTATATATCTTGTTGTTCAAACATATTGATGTGCTACTTGATTCTCTGGTCTTCTATATTTTTCTTACATCAATGTTTATTTCATGCAGAGCTTCTGTACTCGAAAAAGCCTCAAAATCAGTTTGGGATTTAATTGTAGACAATAATGGCCTGGGAAAGGAGATAAGTGAAACTGTTGAGCGAGTGTTTTGTCGACTGAGTGGCCAGGAGCCTCCATTGTTTCCACTTCCTAATGGTGAGCCGCAATCTGAAAAGGAGGCTGGCAACAGAAAAGAAAAAGGCAAGGGAAAGCAGAAGGAAACTGAAAGCATAAATACAAATACTCCATCAAAGAAAAGGAGCTTCAGTGAAATAAATTTGGAAGGACCGGATGAAACTTCAACCAGGTTCTCTGATCCCGCGGCAGTATTGGAAGGTTCTGGCAAATCACCTGTATCAATTTCGAAGACTTGAGTTGCAAATTCGACAATCCTTTTGTAACTGCATTGATCAAATCTGGTAAATATATTATATTGACACTTTGTAGAACTTCACTGCAGTTTGAATGAATCTTGGCACTGAAAGTTGTGTACTATGCAACAATCATTATGTATGCTATACCTACAATTGATGAAATTGATTAATGAAACTTAAAAAGTCTGTTGTTGATTGACTAATTCTTTTATATTTAATCTTGTCAAGTTTGATAGAGGTGATATGTGTATTACAATGTGCATATCATGGTATATGCCATCAAGCTTGAAGCCCTCTTGTTTTGCATTTAATCTTACAACATAATTCAATTGCCATAAAACAGTTAAATTTTTAGGCTAATGACCATATCCAGCTTGAAAAATCCATCAAGCTTGAAAAAACTTGTTAGTTATATATATATTTTAAGTGACTTTTTACTGTTTTCATAAATTGAATTGGGACTTAGACTGTGTTATTACGAACAATCATCCTTTATTATCTGCATTGTTGTGACTGCGTACATATTGATTTTTACATTAGCTTTTTCATTCATTATTAGATCGACATTTGCTAAAGATAATGGTCTTTGTTTCAGTTCCGTTTTAGTAGTATACAGTCAACTGGTGGAAAATAAAAGACATTATAAGGAAGTTTTTAAACAGAAGTTTTTGGTACGTTGTTAAAACATTTTTTAATTAATTTTTAGAAGATTAAAATGTGTTTCATTTGAAGAGTGTTTCTGTAATTGGTGCAGTAAGTGAATTATAAAATTTGGAGTATATGTTCTAATATGAATCAGAACACTACCTTGAGTAGTTACATGGCTTCAATTCTCTTAGATTTACGAAATTAAGGTAAATATTAATTGTTCAGAGTCTAATCATTGGGTTATTTATCAAGAAAGCATTCTTTTTGCTTTTGGAGCGCGGGATGGGGATGGGGATGCCTACAACTACAAGCTCCGCGGGATGCCTACAACTACAAGCTCTGCAATTGCTTTCGCAAGATTCTCGCGTGACATTGGTTGGTACTATGGTTAGTGTTGGTGGCTCAATATATTTTTTAACATTAAAAAGTTAAATATCCGAACACCTCACTCGTTGTTTTCTTTGTTCAATATAGGTACAGATGCAAATATTTTGGAATACCCCTAGGGGTCTTTAGGAACGAAGGAATTATTCATTTTTGAGTCTTTACAAATGAACGAAGGTGAGTGCCTCCAGCTTCAACCTATCAAGTTGGAATGGAATATTTCTTTCATCTAACTTGATCTGATCATTATGGAATCAGATTCTACTTGTACCCAGGATCCGTTAATCTTATCAACATTAAAAAACAGAAACCTAGATTTACTAAAGAAAATATATTTTTATAGATTAATTCAGCCCATAATTCTATCTATCTATATAGAACTTCTATTCTACAGTTTCTTGGTCAATGTTTCTCCTAAAAAAATCAAAGGTATGGCAGGAAACTTGTAACTCAGAATTCTGGACTGAATCTGTCCGTTGGATAAAACATCTGTTGAACCAACATGTTTAATTAAACTAAAATTTATTCGAAGACAAATTTATCAACGAATCAGAAATTTGGTAAAAAAAACCCCGAGAAATACTCTACTATAACATGTCAATAGAAGTTTAATACAATACCGTTTTAACGGTTTCCTTAAAAAGTAATATTATAAACATAAAATATTTGCCTTTTTATCCTAAATATTGATAAATATTAATGTATATTATTGGAATTTGGACATAAGTATACTAATGTATGATCTGAATTTTTAGTTTTTACCCTTGTAAAGGGTTAACTATGCTACTAATATAAAATTAGATTATGTTTCTTTTAATTAATACTAATTCAATCATTGTACACACCACCATAAAAAATAGGTGTTGGTGGTCCATTTTTAATCTTTCAGAATTTTTGTATTTGAAACATGATTTGCGAAGTCAATGAAGCAGTAAAGGACCTACTTGTTGGGCGAGATGCACTCGCTAAGCGAGAATGTTTTTGCGAAAAGCAATAGAAACAGAGATGTTTCACTGCCTCGTTATATGAATTTATGAAAATTGTTCTTAGAGGTTTGTTTGTTAAGCTAGTGAAACACCACTCCTCGGCAAATTTTGAGAAAGGTTAAGATATGAACTGTTTTAAATGTGTTTAAATGTTGATTAATTATTGAAAGAGACATGCAATGTAAGTAATCAATAAGATGAAAATGTTTTAGATATAAATGTGATTATGCATGTGATGAAATGAAAATGTTTAGATATAAATGTGATGATGCATGTGATAAAGGATATTGTATATGTGATATTGTATATGATTGGTGTTAATGAAGGTGGAATGACTTTCACTTTAATTTTAATGTGCATTGAATAACATTCAATTAGGAGATTGATCATGGTGAGCTAACTCTGTGAAAAAAAGAGATTAGGTAGAACCTGAGTATTAAATGCTAAAAATCTTTGAAATTCATATGCTAGGTACATAGGTTTTTAGTGCAATTTAATACACAAAATTTTCCATAGATAGAAAATATAATTGCTTTAAATAATTGTGTGTAGAGAATGAATTATTTTTTAAAATGATTGTTTATATTAATTATTTGAATTATGTATAAGTTTTATTTTTTTTTTAAATATACTAGGTTATCCTCGTTTATGATTTTGTTTTATTTGTCAGGATTGTGTATTTTTGCACAAGAGCAAGATATAATGCAGGTGAGGGTTTGTAATAGTGATATAGTCCGGAAATGTATAGATAGGGAAAGCTATTTATATATAGATTCTTTTGTATTGCATAAAGTTCCTATTCTTTTGATTAAGTATTATGTTTTGAAAATATATTATGTAAATTAATAACAATTATTATAATACATGGAGTATACTTATATAGTTACTATATTTAATATCAATTATAAAATTCTTTAATTAATAGAATAATTTTACTAATGAGATGTTACAATCATTTATAATTAGATAAATGTTTTTTTTATCAATAATCATGTCTTATTATTGATAAGTCAATGAATGCATTTCTTAATATTTTTGTAAATAAACTTTATAAAAGATTATGTTCAGAAAATATGATTTGGTCTTAAAGATATAAATTAATAAGTTAATAATTGATAGAAAAGAAAAAGTTAGAGTTGCATTAAAATTTAATGAGTGTATATATTTTTACATTTTTCAATAGAAGCTTCATTTTTATTTTTTTTACTTAATTACTAGATGTAATTTTAGTTGAAAAGTTGCAAGTAAGCTTTTTTTTTTTATGGAAATTTGACTAATTTAGATTGTTTTTATTAGTTTCGTACCAATTACGTTAAGGACATTTGTTTCAATTAGTTTTTTTTTGTTTTTTAATTTTTTTAAAATATTTTATTTTATTCATGTGTTATGTTGTGTGTATAATTGTTTTGTATTCAATTCAATTTTTATGTTTTTTTAAATTGGAATCTAATTTATTATTTGTATAAATTTTTATTAAAATTAACTTTTAAACATATTAAATTAATTATATATTAAATTACTTTATTGTTATAACAACAATAATTATTATTATAATTGTAGATATTAATTATTTAATTTATTATACATTATATAAGAAAATTGATTTTTAAATTATTTTCATTTTAAATTTTAATATTTTCAAGGGAGACAAACATTTATTATATATTTTATTTTAAGTTATACAATCTTTGTTATTTTTTTTATAAATATTATTATATTTATTAAAAAAATTTAAGTTTCATTAAATATTTTGAATTACTATATTATCAATTCATATTAAAAATAATTTTTTTAAATGGAATTGAATATAGCTAGAATCAATTTAAAAAAAGTTTTATAATTATTTAATAAAAAATTAATTTTAATATAAATATCATAATTTGCAACATTAATTTTAGAAAATTAAAAAGTCTTAAAAAATGAAAAAATAATGAATTAACACGTGACATGTTAAAAAAGTCATTGATACGATATTAAATTACAAAAATGAAGATTTATTCACAAATTTCCAACTAAAATTGGAACAAAAGGAGTATAGGTCAGTAAAATTTTTCAAAACAAACACTCCTTACAAATAAGTTACTAAAAAGTTCTTAACGAGGACATTGAATACACCTTCACGAATTTAAGGAGGACAATGGGATCATTGGGTCCTCAAATGATATATGGTTGATTAATGATATAATATTTTAAAAATATATCTAAAGCCTATTAACGAAAGATCACCTAAATCAAAATCAAAGGACCACCTTATTCACAAACCATCATTCAATATTATAATAAATCTCTTTTTTACTTTTATCTTTATTAAGTTTAGTAGCCTACTTAAGTTGGAGTTTGTGTAAATTGACCAAACTTTGTTATTCAGAAGTAGATAAGGACGAGAGCAATCATAAATCACTAATAGGTTTAGCTCCTAACACTTTTTACTCTATCAATGTCTATTTTTCATAAATATAAACTTTGATAATATGTATCACATGCCCAAATACACTCATATTTTCTAGAAGAGGAATCACAAACTTTATATAAGCCAAATATTTTATAAATGAATGAGATGTAATAAAAACACTACGCAACGTACTTTCAAACTTTTTCTAATGTTATCTCTATCCACTCCCTTGGCAGCATGACATCGCAATATGCGATGGCTTTTAGACTACATAGGACGATGCCAATTTGAAGTGACATTAGATTTTCTACATGAAAAAACCGTCACATGCGTTTTAGTTTTTAAAACATAAAGGTGGCATCCACGTATATATGAAATCGTTTTATAAGAAACCATGATACTATATCTTAAACGATGACGAATCACTGTTGGTAATTCTGAACCAGATCAGAGAATGACACACCTAACACGTGGATGGCTTTTTGAAGTCTTGTGACTATAACACAATCTCACACGTAGATTCTTACCAATATTATATAGTCTCTGCGTGCGTGCTCTGAAACCGTGCACATATAAGAGTGTACTTTTACATAATAGTAATGCGTCTGCAGGTTCATGAATCAGCATTGAAACCCTGTTAATGGTGTGACCTCTCAAATCTCATGGTGGGTCTCCACTCTCCACTCTCCACTCTGCAAATGCAATTGGGTAGTTTTCGTGGATTCAAACAGTACCAATACATAGCCGTCTTAGTCTCCAATCATTACTTCCATGCCAATGCAAATCATTTCACAATTGCTTCATCACTACAATTTGTTGACATTTCTGTGATATCAACTTCACACCCACATGTCACTAAAAGCCTTATTTTAGTAAGACACTCGTTTCATTTCAAACCCTGTATATTGAAATAACATACATTGTGTATGGTATACATGTCAAGGGACCGATAACATCGAAGACCATTCGGTATATTTACTATAACAGCGTTAGTCAATATTAAGGTCGTTTGGTCTATCTATTGTAACAATATTAAACCAGGTTAAAAGGTGTTGAACCATAATTGAGTCAACATTTAAAGTTATTGGACTAATAATCGAATAGAGAATAAAATAATCAAAGATATCTGATTAAAAATATTCATAAAATTATTAATGAGCAACCGATCGATTTAAGATGTTTAAGGTAAGTCTATTTATATTTTATTAGGTTTGTGATAACCTATAAATACAAGACCAAGACTAAAAGTCAGATACGGTCTATTCTCACTCAAAAATACTCCACAATAATAACAAAATCACTTTCTTGAAAACTAAGATTCCGTAAAGTATGTCTAACTTGAGCATCGGATACTTTTACATATCCCTTCCCAAAGCCAACGAAAACACGTCAGAAAATGATAGTGTCTCCGTCTAATAAATACCTACCGAAACCATACTTTCATGGTGTCAATTTTTTTATTGGTGAGTTGAATTGATGTGATAAAGAGAAGTGTCAGTTTCAGGTTCAAATGACGGCAAACTTAGAAGTTTAAAAGTAGGAACAAAATGGAGTGAGTCACGTCACGTTTAGGATATTATTGTTATGGAGTGGAATGTGAGAGATGAAGAAATGAATAAAGTAATGAGAAAATATGGATACGCGTGAGCATGGAGAAAGATTTGGCAGCTCTTGTTACGTCAGAAAATCTGGAAGCATCTCTTTCTTTGGGCGTCGTCAAACTGGGAGTCATGTGATCACTTTCTGTCATTCTCGTTGGGAGTGGAAAGAAAGAAAGAAAAAGAAAAAGAAAAGCACCAACGTTGAAGAGAATAGTAGCAGTGTTCGTATGGCCTATGCTGCTGCTGCTGCTTTTTTCAATTATCAAGTTTGAAAGTTACATGGAACATTTTCAATTAAGTCGTGTAATTCCATTCTTCTGATTTCTCCCTTTTTAACTCTTGATTATTTATTTAATAGTACTTTCTTTGTTGAACTTGTTTGACTTTTCTAGATTTATCTTCCATCATCAGTGCTATTAACATGCTAATCACCTTTGAAGTAGTAAGAACGAATTGCTCATTCACGAGCCTTTTTCCTATTCCTTATCTCCATTTTTCAAAGTATGATGACAAATATTTGGTGGGTAGATTGATTTGCGATGGTTTATACCTATTTCTGCATCCAATCATTAATTTATATGCTTTTTCAAGATAAATGATGTGATAAGGTAGAGCAAAAGACATGTAAACACATAAATTTATATTAATTCTCTCTTGAATAAAAAAGTTACTTTCAATTGGTCAGTAACCTTAAAATATAAATATAAGGAAAATATCTAAGAATTATAAGATATTAAACCCTATAATACTTTGAATTTAATTATAAAATCAACTTGAAAAACCTCGTTCAATCATACAACTATAGAAGAGAAATAATCAATAAAAAAGCAAAATCCTTTTTGTAAAAATTCAGCACAATAGAAAAACACAGACAAAGTTGTATTTATTTTTAATTATCTATGAATAGTTATATAATATATGTATGTTTTTCTTTCCCCAGACAGCAACCAGTACACAAAGCTATATTTATTTTTAATTAACTATATTTATATATTTTGATGATATTTTGTATTTAAGTTATACAATTTAGATTTATTTTCCTCGTATTCTAATCTCTTACATGAAGGACTTAAGAGAGTAAAATGTTTGAAATTTACACTCAGAAAATGAGTTATTAAGATCAGGTTTATTTATTTTGTTACAAGAAAATTTGTTCATAAAGATTGAATTAATAGTAAGTAAACTTTAAGAGTTAGTCACTAAAATAATTACATACTATGTTAAAATTAAAATTTAAAATAATTAACATATTTAATTTTTAATTTTTAACACTGTTTAATATTAATTCAAAAACTTATTCAATGACAAAAGAGCGTAATTTGAAGACTAACAATTCTTAATTTCTAAAACATTTTATAAGTTAATATGAATTTTAAAATATTGTATAACTTAATATTGTAAAATTTTCAATTGGTACATTTTAACAATGTGTATCGGGTTTTAGTAGGACAAAAATACTTTTATATATCATGAATTATAAGTTTTAAAGTTAAGGATATTTTAATAATTTTCATTCTCAAAACTAAAAAAAAAGATATTTGTTATTTTAATAATAGTCACCTCTTTTATTCCTCTCAACCCTTTCTCTTTTATCTCTCTCATTCCAACATTTTCTTTGTCATCCCTAGTGTAGCCCCGATTGAAAAAATGAGAAACATCTGCCTTTAAAAAATTTGCCTTTGTAAAGAGTTGAGTCATTGACATATTCACCTTCAAGACATCTGCCTTTAAACAATTTGCCTTTGTAAAGAGTTGAGTCATTGACATATTCACCTTCAAGGTTCATTCAAGATCTCTTCAATTTCATCGTCTTCACTAACCTTTCTAATTTCATCA